GCCCCAGGTAAATTCGTTCCCAAAAAAAAAAAAAAAAAAAAAAAAAAAAATCTTGTGTCTAATCTGACAGAGGGTGGCCACTGGCCTTATTGCCTGCAGGAAATGCCCCTACCCCCCAAAAAAATGGGTGGCGTTTTTGCCTGAAAAAAAAAAAGGTGCTCTTTATGATCAGGGCCCACCCTAAGGCACACATACAAACTGAGGTGGAGTTTTCAGTTTCGGGGGCCGCAAGGTCTCCGAGTGAATCCAGCAAGCCGAGCCTGTCCCCTGGGGCATGGCCCCATTAGCAGTCAGATAGGAGCGGGGTGACACTGAGTGGCGGCGGCCTGACAGGTTCATTACAAATTTCTGGGCTCAGGTGTTGCTCCCCACCAATAGATGGAGCCATCCCGGCACTACTAGTGGTGTCTGATCATATCAGCACCCCTAGTAGCCGCTCGGGCTGTTTCTTTAAAAAAAAAAAATAAAAAAAAATAAAAAAAATTATGGGCTGGTCGAGGTAGACCTCTCTACATTATATGACATTTAACTGTGGAAGTTAGTGAACGGAGAAGTTTTCAATTGGTAGGGTAGCAGTAGACTCAGTTTGTTCTCTGTTACATTACAAGTCTAGTTGGATAGCTGGTTTCTTCTATGGGATTGGTATTGAGCTTCTGGCCACTTTTTTTTTTTTTTTTTTTTTTTTTTCCTGGCCACTTTTTTAGATGTGATTCAAGGTAACTTTTTGGAGAACCTGTTTGATAGTTGGGTAGTTGAGCAGAGAAGATGACATGTGGGGATGGTGGAGCCGGTTTGATAGTTGGGTAGTTGAGCAGAGAAGATGACATATGGGGATGGTGGAGCCGGTTTCCAGCAAAGCCGAAGCTGGGTAATGGCCCCAGAAGATGACTCCCGGTTGTTTGTGAGGTTTCCCGGCTGCCTCGTTTGCCAACTTGGTGATAAATTTTGATTTGCCCCCCCACGCCGGCTGAGATAGGCCCCTGATTTGTCTTCGTTGTCTATATTGGGACGTCGGCAGGCTCGTTCATTCTCTCCTCCTCCCAGTCCCCCTTCCTTTTCGACGTCGTGTTGATGATAATCTGCAGGGTTCTTTGTCTTACCTACAGCCTTCACTGCCACGTTGACGGCGTTTGTCATTCGTGCGCCTACCCTGCCAGATCAGACCTAGCTTTCCAGTGGTGACCCGATCGGATCTGCGGGCAGATCTACCAAATGCTTGTGGGTTGACAGCCACAAATGTCTGCCTACCTCAATGGCTTATCAGCGTCAATGTTATACTGCTTCCCATTTCGTTACGATTGCTTATCAGCTTTTGACGCTAAGACAGTCAAATTCTTACGCACTTTCGCGCCTTCGGGGTATTCAGACGCGAAGCGTCTGCTCTTCGAGCCGTAAGGTTGCCACCGCATACTTCGAAAGATGTTGTGGCCAAGGAAAGGTACTCCTTTCGACACATGGGTAATATGGGTTTTGTCTATACTCAGTGTGAATTGGAGTTTGTCTCTAAGGAACGATTCCAATTCAGATCTCAGTTTCACTGCTTCTGATCGTGGACCAGAGATTGCTACTAGAAAATCATCTGCCAAGCGGATGTCGTTGTATGACCATTATGATAATGGTCCGACTCCTGAAGGTATAGTAAGTATACTACCTCAGGAGGCTTTACTGTAAATGTCTTACAGCTAGCTTTCCATGGTCGCCACCTTCTTATGCATCATGCAACGCAAGGGGATGACCTTAATGACCATCCTCATATTTCTGCCTGTATTTTGCACAGACCCGGGCATTATATGACACTCATTCGTGCAACTGCCCAGTGGGAACTGTGGGATGGTGGTACAATGATTCAGGCTATTTTCAACATAAATGAATTTCTGTGTGCATGACTGAATCATACTTTATTCTGGATTATTGATCGACTCTCGTGTGACACCTGTCGGGACAGGGACGCGGTGCATCTTGGCTGCGGAATTCATCACCTATGCCATCAACATTGTCAATCTTTTGCAGCCGCCGCCGTCTGTGCCGAAGGGTGTCCAACATTTCCTCATTGTACACATGTCTATCACCCAGATACTCGTTGTCTCTTTTGTGCTCAAGGACGCAAGCAGGACTGCATGATGCCGCACTGTGATAAAAGTCCAGCTGTTTTTTGGACATGTGGACAGCATGTCCTTTGTCAGGACTGTTTTGATGGGATGGCCCGTGCTAGCCGTCCTGCTGAATGCTGTGCTGAAGTAGCTGTCCTTGGGTATCCTCGTGAACATCCACATCATCCTCAGCGTGCTGGTCCTATCTGCCGGGGTGGGGGCTCGTCTTCCTGACTGGTCGATTGAAAAAGGGCTAGAGTGTCGTATGATCCAGGCACTCTGGCCTGGTTCATACGACCTCCTCCTTTTGAATTATAAAAGCCTGAAAACGGGTCCGGCGTCCCTCACACCATAGAAAAGGTTACAATCCATTCCAAAACTGCACTGCAAATTCTGACGAAATGACAAAATCCCTATAATTGTGCACAAAACAAATAACCTAAAAAGGAAACAGCAAAAACAAACCCTACAAAGGCAAAGCCTACCACCCACCCTTTGTCTTTTCTTTGACCTTTCTTGTTCTCTTGTGTCTGTGAGGTCTTTTTTTTTTTTTTTTTTTTTTTTGACAACGGGCCCAGTGCCCAAGGGTGATATTCCAAATGATAATATTCAGGCCGGGGTCCTCACAATCTGCCCGGAGACACCGAACCAAAAACACCAATTCTGAATGATGAAAATGATACTGCCTGTCTCTGTGAGGTCTAGTTTCCTCCTCTTTTTCTTTACCTCTTTGCTTTTTGGTTGCGTGCAAGTGAGTCGTTGTGACACACGGGGATGGGGGCAGCCAGCGCTCAACCTGTCATCCACGTGGCTGGCCTTGTATGTAAGAGGTGATGAACAGGTGGGGCTTTCCTTCTTTTCCTTTCCTTGTGTTGCTTTTTTTCACCTTCGTGCTCTGATTCAGTGTGACAATATATATATAACACAGCCCCTCGTTTGTTGTCCTCTTCTCTCTCTCTGCCTACGGTTTACCGGGCAGTTCTATTTGTGACGATGGCAGTTCTATTTGTGACGATATATATATATATATATATATATATATATATATAGTCGGTGAAACTCCGACGAAACAGTTTGTCACAGCCCCTCGTTTGTTGTCCTCTTCTCCCTCTCTGCCTACGGTTTACCGGGCAGTTCTATTTGACGATATATATATATATGTGGGCTGAGAAAACAGAAGAAAGACCAAAAAAAAAAGAAACAGAGACCTCCCACTGGAAATGACGGCAGAGTGCTTCCCAGCCATCAGATCTCAAATGATCAAACAATGGTGAACACAGTAACTGCCACAATTTTTCTGAAGAAAACTAGACTTCTCTTAGCAGTGATCATGACGCCGTCCATAGACTCCATGATTGAAGGAGGGGTTCACCCAATGAGATAATTCCACAACAGCAAGCAAAATACTGAAATCCAGTGGGCCTATGGCCGACCCGACTCTCTTTTGGGGTGGGCCATACCCCCAACGAATTGAAAATATTTTGGCTGGAAGTTTCCTTTGCAAGCGTGCCCAGTGTTAAGGAGAGGAGGAGGGGAACAAAGACCTCCTTACTTTTTCGGGTGAATGAAATACATTTAAAATACTGACCATGGGATCACTCACGAGTACTGCTGCACGGCAGGATTTGGGTCACTAAACTGCCACACAAACTCGTTTCTATCCTATCCCCTTGCTAGTGGGACCACTGCCCTGGGGTCCG